ATACCCTTATTTAAAATATGTGCATTTTGCACTAATTTTGTCCAATTAAAATTAATGCACTTTATATTGTCATTAATGCATGACATTAATGCACAACTTTACTGCACATCCGGTAATTATCACTGCACTTCCGCCAAAATTAATTCTCTTCTCATTTGCTTGATGAATTTATTTTTAGTTTTTTTAGATTTAATAATTTTATTATTTTAAATTTAATTAAGTATATTGCATTTCATGGTAGCATTATTGTTTTGCGTTATTGCACTGTTCATAATCACTGCACAACAAAATTCCTTAATGCATCCATTCACTGCCACATACAACATTTATTGTCATGTTCACTGCCAATGTTCAATGCCCGAGATTAATGCTCATAAACCCTAAATTCAACAAACTTTTTTAAAACATCTTATCTAAACAACAAGAAAGATCGAACTTTTGAAACATAGTCACTCCATTCGGAATTGAGCTAATGAATTATCGAACCAGACCTGAAAACAAGAAAAGTGATTCATTTAGAAGTCAATTTTAATTTATTACTCCGTAATATAGATTATAAGATATAATATTATGCAAAAATAGCCTAAATAAAAAAGGTGCTCCTACGGAAGCGTATATAGTACAGCCGGCTGTACGGTGAGAACCGTACAGCCGGTGGCATTCTTGTAATTTACATGAAATTCGCGTCTTGTACTAAATGAGCATTAAAACACGTCTAGTGAGCATGAGACATATTTGGTTGAGCATTTGAAGCATAACAATGAGCATCGTGATCTTTGCTTCATCTCTTCGAATTTACTTTCTTTTCCTTATTTTTTTTTTATAAAAACTTATTAATTATATCTATAATCAACTCTTATGAACTTCAGTATGCGAATTTAATGCCATATGATACTTTTGAAATATGCATTCTAATGTCATTTTACTAATGAAACATAACATGAATACCCGTTGAGCATAATAACTTATAAAATGAGAATTGATATGAAAATCATAAGTACTTTTAATTGAACATCAAGACATTTTTATTGAGCATCAACTTGAAATTATAAGCACTAGTGATTTTCATTATGTGATTGTGATGAGCATCGAGTCTCTTCTTTTGAGTATTAGGGGTCTAACAATGAGCACCAGTGATTTGTGTTTCATATCTTCTAATTCATTTTCTTTTTATTATTTTTTTGTTTATTATTTCAATATCGGAATCCAATGTAGTATGATGCGTTTGAAATGAAACATGGTTAAATGAGCATACATAATCTATAAAGTGAGTATCAAAAAATTCAAAACTTCATTTCTGTATGCTCATTAATTTTGGGCGTTATATTTGATATGTCCATCATTTTAAAATGAGCATAAAGCAGTACCAAATGAGCATACCTTATAATGTGATCTCTGCTTCATACCTTACATATCACTTTATGTTTTTTATGTGTTCGTTTATTAAAAAGTCTTAAATTATGTCTATAATCAATTTCAGTTTATCTCAATATGTGAATCTAATGTAGTATGATATGTTGAAAACGTGCAACCTTTTAAAATGAGTATAAAGCAGTACCAAATGAGCATACATAACTTACAAAATGAGTATAAAATTTCAAAAACCTCAATTGTATGTGCTCATTCATGTTAGCTTTATACTCATTGGAGTCTAAAACAAAACTCATTTCTAATTTGAGCGTAATGTAGTATGATATGTTTGAAATGTGTACCCTTTTAAAATGAGCATGTTAAGCAATAACAAATGAACATACATAATTTACAAAATGAGTATCAAAAAATTCAAAAACTCATTTGAGTATGATCATTCATTTTGGGTGTTATACTCATTTTAGTTTAATATAAAACTCATTTTTAATGCCCTTATATTTTATTAATAGGATTTATACTATGATTACTATTTCTCGGAATGGATAATAAATGTAATGTTCCTAACAAGTTAAGAAAGCATCTTAATAACACATGGTAGACTCTCTAGCCTATACTATCGTACTCCCTCCGTCCCTTATAACTTTGCCAACTTTCCTTTTTTGGATGTCCCATTAACTTTGCCACTTTCCCATTTAAGTAAAGAATTTGTGGTTCTAGTTAATTCTCTCACCTCTGTACAAACCTCAACCACACAGTTTTTACTTTATTAATCCTCGTGCCGGTCAAACTTGGCAAAGTTATTAGGGACGGAGGGAGTATATTTGAAGCCTTAGGCTTCGAAGAAGATCAGGTCGGCGAAGGGTTCAATGATTTGATATTTGCAGGTATATATATATATATATATATATATATATATATATATATATATATATATATATATTCATAAAGTGGAAAGATTAGATTGGTTGAGGTTTATTTACGTGAGACCGCTCACAAAGGAGGGAGACAAGCACACTATGCCGGAATCTGGAAGCAGAGACAAGCTCAGTACGCCGGTTTTGGTCGTATTCCTTCATCGATGGAGTTGCAGCGAGCAAGTGAAGCAGATCTAATTACAAAAATACCCGGCTGTACGGTGCTCACCGTACAGCCGGTTGTACGGTGTAATTTACCGTGCTCCTACTACCTGCTACTGTGCTAGCGCGGCTACGAACAGGAAGGGAAGAGTCTAAATCAACCACTGCTCTTTTCCCCATAAAGGTAGGATTCCAAAATTGAAAATTGGTAGACCTCGTGCTTTCAAGTGGGACTGGCCGGACGGCGATGAGAATGGAGGACTTCGAAGACGTAAAGGAAGCTCTGGGTTGATCTGTGCCGCTCGTTTGCCACGCCTCGTTTTCCAGATCTGGACGGCGCCACACGGATTTGCACTGCTCGTTTGCCACGTCGGAGACGTAAAAGAAGCTCTGGGACGGCAACTTTGCCAGGCTGAAGTTTTGGGTCGGTGAATGGCTCTGGTTCGGCGGCGGGTTCCCAGGCCGGAGCTCTGTGGAAGGAGGCGGTGCTGGACGATGAGAGGTTATGGCTAGGGTTGAAGAAAATGGGTAGGAGGTTTAGGATATTATAGATATAACATAAAGGGTATATTTGTCTATAAAAATAATTTATTATTTATTAATTACGAATTTTAATTTATTATTATGAATATTAGTATTATTTTGGGGAAAAAACTAGTTAGGTCATAGATGGGGAAACTCGTTGAGTTTTAATCATACTTGAGATAATTATCTCAATGAAAAAATAGGTATGTTTCCAATAGGACTAATGTGGTCCTATTTTGGAATAAAAACATAGCAAATCTTATTTTAAATTTTTGTCATAGTTTTAGTTCTATTTGGAGTAATCTATCTACAAACTTATAAGCACCAATGATAGTAAGGGCATTTTAGGAATGATAAAAATGTTGGTGTAACATTAAAGCATTATGCACTTGTACAATTTATTTTAGTTATTGTACCCTTCCATCATGAAATCTAAATTCCCCTACCTCCGTTAACTCCAACTTTTGAGTTTTCGTTTTAATTTCATTATTCTTCATATTTTAATTATTCTATGCAATTGATTGATTGGATTTCTATTAAGTGTTATAATTTATTTTTTACTCTTTATTATATATGTTACGTTATGCATTACTTTTAAAAAAATACAATTTTATGTAATGATGTTTTGTTTTGAACTCAAATTTGCTGGTCTGGTCTGGTTTGATCTGGTCTGGTTTGGTAAACGACTTGTCTCTATGTATTTTATAACTACGGAAATCAAGTCTGGTCTGGTATTATCTGGTTTGGTCTGGTTTGGTTTGGTCTGGTCTGGGACTGATCAAAAACTGTCCAACAGAAAACATCCTAAGTTATTATGAATGAAATGAGCAATACCCAACAAGATTCATATCCTATCAGATTATTAAGATCGGATCAGATTATGAAAATACAATTAAAATTAGAAAATTTCAAAATGATTTACTACTTATTGTTGTTGTTATTATTATCATTGTTATAATTATTGTTATTATTATTATTACTATTACTCTTGTTTTTATTATTTTTAATTTTAATATTATTATTATTGCTGATAGTATTAATATTATTATTATTATTATTATTATTATTATTATTATAAATCTCTTATTTTAATCTTGTCAAAATAAGGTTGGGCATTTCCTTTTCGCGCATCACGCGTAATATAACTAGTTTCTATATAAACATACAAAATTGTTTAGAATGACATAAAATGGTAATAAAATCCTTGTCTCTAGTTGGCCAGAGTGCCAGACTGCCAGAGCAGGACCATTCTTCTGGGAATAATGAACCGGTATATTTTGAAGGTACATTGATCCTGGTTCTAGAGTAATATAATGACACAGTCTCACCCTCCCATGTGATCAAGGGTATGGAAAAAAAAAGTTTAATTACTTTTGCAAGTTGTTGGGGCTGATCTCGAACCAGTCACTAATGAAGATGAGCCTGGCGTTTACTTCACACATGGGTGCCTAATGAAGCTCCCGGGAGTCAAACAAAATGGAGACTGGTATGATTTCGACCCTTCTGTTTTTCCTAACCATGTTCTTTCCTTCTTTGATAGAAATAGCAAAGAAAATAAGAAATACCACAAGGAATGGAAGCGTAGGATGCGAAGGAAGGAAGCCAATACAGGTGATACTGGTGGAGGGGGGACTGCCTCCGATGTGGACCTTACTTGATGTTAAAAGTCCTCTCGTGGAATGTTAGAGGTTTGAACAAAACCTCGAAGCACAATTTAATTTCTAATTTTATCAAGGCGAATAACATTCACTTGTGTTATTTTTTGGAGACCAAAATGAACCGGGTCAGTTTTAATAGCTATGTTTTAAATAAATGGCCGGGTTGGGTCTTTAAAGATAATTTTGATCTAATAAATGGTGGTCGCATGGCTGTTATGTGGAACCCCTTTTATGTTAATGTTTCTTTTGATGAAATTGATAGGCAACATATGCATGCTAAGTGTGTTTGTAGGATCACACAAACCACGTTTGTTGCTACCTTTGTTTATCCATTATATACGGTACTTGAGAGAAAATCCCTTTGGGATCACTTGACTTTGGTTGGAAACCAAATCGTTGACCCTTGGATGGTGTGTGGTGATTTCAATTGTATTTGTGCGCCTAATGAAAGGGTGGGTCCTACCCCCCCTACGGCGTATCTTATGCAACACCTTATGGACTTTAAGGTCTCGGCTAGCCTTCATGATGCCCCCTCCACGGGAGAGTTCTTCACTTGGAACAAGGGCACACTATGGGCTAAACTGGACCGTGTATTGATTAATGATGTATGGGCACTAAACAGTGTTGGGTGTAGGGTTCATTTCCATGAAATGGAGGTGGAGTTTGATCATATGGCATCCGTTGTATCTATACTCCTTAATTCCTCACCCAAACCCAAGCCTTTCAAATTTTTTAATATGTGGTTAAAACACCATGATTTTGCTAACATTTTAGTGCAGCATTGGAACATGACTTGTGTTGGGTCGGCCCAATACCTCCTAGTAAAGAAACTTAAGGGACTGAAAAGGCCCTTAAAACTGCTTAATGCTACGGAGTTTGGCCACATTTCCAACAAGGCCAAGAGGGCAAAGGATGACTTTAAAGCGGCTCATAGAATGTTGTTGCTTGACCCGACGAATGAGGAGCTCAAAGCTAGAGTGGGGGAAACTAGTAGGAAGGCCATCTTCCTATGTGAAGCCGAGACTAGTTTTTTCCAACAAAGGGCCAAGGCAACTCACATCCTTGAAGCGGACAAAGGAACGAAGTACTTCCACGCTATTGTCAAACGAAACTTGGCAAGGAATGCAATCACTTCCCTTACTTTGGAGGATGGTAACATTACTACTTCTTTAGACCAAGTTGGGAGTGAGTTTGTTAATTTTTTTACGGACTTATTTGGAACCCATTTTGAGTGCCATCCGTTGGACCCGGAGGTTTTAGGGTCTGGCCCAAAAATTGAGCAATCTGCCCATTCGCGCCTCATTGCCCCGGTTACCACTGGGGACATTAAAAATGCCCTCTTTGATATCGGAAATGACAAGGCTCCCGGCCCGGATGGTTACTCTTCTGCCTTCTTCAAAGCAAATTGGGAGACGGTTGGGGAGGACATAGTCCAAGCTGTTAAGGAGTTTTTTCGTTCGGGAAAATTGCTAAAACAGATTAACCATACTGTTATTGCACTCATCCCTAAAACGAATCATGCTCCTAAGGTTTCGGACTATCGACCCATTTCCTGCACAAATGTCGTATATAAAATCATTACAAAAATAATTGCCACTAGATTGATTCCATGTCTCCCGGAATTGATTGATCACGCCCAAGGGGCTTTTGTGGATGGCCGCCTCATGTTTGATAACATTTTCCTTGCCCAGGAACTTGTTAGAGGATACACGAGGAAGCGAATCTCACCTAGGTGCATGATCAAGGTGGATTTGCGCAAGGCTTATGACACTATTTCGTGGGACTTTTTGGATAATGTGCTCAAGGGTCTGGGCTTCCCTTTACAGTTTATTGGATGGATCATGGAGTGTGTTTCCACGGCTTCTTTCTCGGTCTCTTTGAATGGCTCACTTTATGGGTTCTTCAAAGGGATGCGGGGAATTAGACAAGGAGACCCCATGTCCCCATTACTATTCGTGATTTGCCTTGAATATTTTTCGCGTTTATTAAAATTGCGGACTTCAGGTCCAAACTTCAATTTCCACCCCCAATGTGCTTCACTTGGAATTACTCATTTGGCCTACGCGGATGATTTAATGCTCTTTTCAAGGGGTGACAAATACTCCATTGAAATACTTGTCAATGCCCTTAAAGACTTTGGGGACGTTTCGGGCCTACGAGTTAATCATGACAAGTCTAATATTTTCCTTGGGGGTGTGAGGGGGTCTGAACTACAAAATATCTTGGATTTTGTTGACTTTGGGCAAGGTGAGTTTCCGGTTAAGTATCTTGGAATTCCCTTAGCCCCACTCAAAGTATCGGTCGCACAGTATGCACCTTTGATTGATGTTATCACTGATTTTTTGAATGCCTGGAATACCAAAACTATTTCTTACGCTGGGAAACTCGAACTAATACGTTCGGTTATCCAAGGTGTACAATCCTTTTGGTTGCAGGTCTTCCCGGTTCCAAGAGCGATCATTGATCGCATTGTGTCCATCTGTAGAGTTTTCCTTTGGGGTGGAAAGTACTCTAAGGTGGCTTGGGATGATATATGTCTCCCAAAGGAGGAAGGGGGTCTTGGCGTCCGAAATGCTTCTATTTGGAACATGGCTCTCCTTTCTCGCACTCTGTGGGACGTACACAAAAAGAAGGATACCCTTTGGGTTAGATGGGTTAATGGTGTCTACCTCCGTGGTAGAAGTGTGTGGGATTTTATCCCACACAACCGTGACTCAATTTTTATGAAAAAATTGGGTCAAACCCGCGACCGTATTATGGACTGTTTTAACAACCGAAATGATACCATTATGGGACTAAATGCTAGATCTCTGAATGGCAAATTAGTCTCGGGAAAGGTTTATGACTTATTGAGAACTAAGGGGAGCAATAGGGCCTGGATGAGTTTCATTTGGAAATCCTACATCCCCCCAAAGTTCTCTTTTAATGTCTGGCTTGCCTTTCGGAACCGGTTACCTACGCAGGATAACCTGGAATATTTACATTTTGTCAACCGATGTGATCTTTGCAAGGGTGGATTAGAAACAATTCCACACCTATTTTTTCTTTGTGGTTTCACTTGCAGGGTCTGGGAGCGAATCAAGGACTGGTTGGGAATGGATCGACGCATGACTACACTTGCCAGCTCCGTCAAGTGGATTCTTAAAGAGCACAAGGGATCAAAGTTGATGGGCAAAGCTGTTCGTATTGCTTTCTGTGCCGCGGTGTATCACCTTTGGCATGCGAGGAATGCAAACAGATTCGATGATTGCAACAAGACCGAGGACGAGATCATTGCCAGGATCAAACATGTGGTGTATAAGATCCTTTTCAACATATACCCACATGAGTTGATCAACTTTTGATTGAAGAAACCTTCCGTTGGGGCCTGCTTTGGCATTTTTGCTCTTGAGTTTTAGTGTGTGCAGTTTTGCAACACTTGTTACTTTGCCATTTTTTGATGTATTGCTCAACTGTCTGTGCGTGTAGACTTATAGCACTTGTTTCTGATGTTTGATGTTTGGGGGGCTAAGTAGGCTTCTTACTTGGGTCCCAGCTTGTTTTTGGACTTAGATCGAACACAAACCTTTCTTCCAACCCTCACTTTAGATGGGGGGGGGGGGGGTTGGGTAGATCTAGGATGTATAGTTTTCTTTGGGTGCTAATAAAATTTACATTTCATCCAAAAAAAAAAGGGTATGGAAAAAGAAATGTTCGTGTTGTAATTTGCTCACTCCTCTACTAAATTTATACGAATGAAATAGGCATTCTGAATTCAAGCTTTATTCCAATCTCTACCCACGACACGGCTAGCCACTATCAGTTGGATATCGCCTCATACATTTTCCTATAAATTGAACTTTGTTGTAGTTTCCAACGATGATTCGCCAGCCTGCCTCTGGGAGGATCAGTCATACATTATGATAGGGGATGCTTGTTTGTGTCGGCTTCTTTCCCATTGGAAGCTGAAACGATCATCCACATGGGACTGTTGCTCCCTAGCTCTCTTCAATATCTTCAAAGGCAAAAAAAGGAAACTGAAAAATCTATTTGTACAAAGCAAGGAGGCCCTTCACTCCTTGACAACTAAGATACGCCTCATTGCTAATGAGGTGAACAAAGCAGCTCTCTCACTCGCCCAAGCACATATCCTCCACGATACAACATCACTCTTTTATGAGCATCGGATCTCCCGAGAATAGCTACAAGTCTCTTACTCTGATGTTTTTACTTGGACTGTAATTTACTGGTCTGGTCTGGTTTGGTCTAAACTATTCTAGTCTAGTCTGGTCTGGTTTCTTTGTACTTTTATAACTATCCAAGTCTGGTCTGGTCTGGTCTGATCTAGTATCTGGTCTGGGACAAATTACAGTCCAAGTAAAAACATCCTTAGAGAACATTCCCTCTCTCCTAGCTTGATCTTTGGCCTGCAAGATCTTTTAATTATATTCCCCCGATCAAGTTACATCTATTTTTATTATAACTAGTATAGTACCCGTGTGATGCACGGCAAGACGTTTTCGAAGATAAAGGAGTATTAGATTAACACCTCACATTTGACTTAATTTAATACCCCATATTATCATCAAGTAATAATAACTAAATGATGAATCACAAACATTGTTGTGATAAATGATAAATCACAAACATGGTCTTTATTAACACAAAGATTCGGTGTATTTCTTTGAGTTTGTTTCTATTTTTGAATAAATCACTTTGTATTTAGTATCTTTGAAATATAAATACATTAGTTGTATACATTTTGTAAATTAATGCAGTCGGTAAATAATTTTTTCAACATAAAAAAAATAGTTCTTATCAATGGTATTGGAGAGATATAACACGGATTTAGTGCGATTCCATTCTTAAAAGTCTTTCCACAATGCAATATACACTCAAGGAAACTACTTTAAAGATTCATACATACAAAATAATAATACAAATTTTAAATACATTAATTTATTAAAGTAAATGGTAGTTGATTTTAAATATAGAGTATACTTTTTAGTTATGTATACCACATGCAAAAAAAAATAAGCACTGTATTTGGAGGTCAAAGAGCTGGTAGTTTTCTATCTTCACAACCACCAAGTAGGTCGCTGCTAGGAAGGGAGCAACTGCCTTGTCGAAGAGCCATGGCCCATGCTGTTCAAAACCGATCTGTTGTACCTGTATGCTCCGCCTCAAAGGCCACCATCCCATTACCAGGCGATATTGTCTTCCAAAAGTGTGGCTTGACAAACTGAAGAGAAAAACTGAAAAGTTGGAGAATCCATTTAGGTTAACTCATCCATCAACAAATAGAAACAGAGAATCAATTTTCTTGAATCTCAAAATCTTACAATATTGGTAATTGTTAGGATACAAAGGTGTATGGGAAATGTAATGTATCAGATTCGGATACAAAAGTGTACAATCAACTTAGGGTATGAGAACCATGGAAAAGCTAAACAAACTAAAGACAAACGAACTTTAGACATCACTGCCAACAAAATACATAACTTATCCGCCGAAAAATGTTGAGAAATCTAAACAAAGATTTGGTGCCAGGCAAATTTGTAGTTAATGAGAAGCAAAAGCCAATAGTTATAGCTGAAGTCATTTCATAATCTTCTTAAGATGTTCAATGTTTTAGAATATAAGTAAATGTTGTTATCTATACATACACGAACCACCCAGGACAATAATAATTATAAGATTCAGGCCCCATGAGTTACTATTGCTCATCTCCTGCTCATCTACTTGAAGTTTTTGCCATGACAATCAGATAATCATTTCTGCCCTTTTTTGTTATTCCACTTGCAAAATGATTCATTAACTTTGTATGATTGTTGCAAAGAATGTGTGCCTAACATTTGAAGAACAAAAGTGATTAGTTTGAGTTAATAATTCTTATGCCATTAAAATAGAGGTTCCAGTGTTTCACTAACCTGCATTTGTATAATGGAAATTGCCCATTTGTAATCTGCATAATGGAAGGAATAAAACACAATAGTAGTCTAGGGGTAAAACTACCTATATATTGCAAGCAGTAAAATTATGGCTTGAAACAATAGAAGTGAATTTCTCTAGGTACTCATGTCGATAAAAAATTCAAGTAGTTAGCTTTCATAAATTTGGCAAGTGAAATTCTAAGTGGAACTAACTCCAATATTTGTAATGAAGGAATATAAACTGATTTAATCCACAAAATAATACTACCAGCCCTTAAAATGCGAACAGGCTTACTTGGGTTGAACTAACTCCAATAATTGTAATTAAGGAGTATGAAAAAGCAAACAGGCTTCTGTAGTTCAACTTCCCATATCCAAATGACCAAATCTCAAAATACAATGAAGAAGAAATGGTTAAAGTGTATAAACCAGCATCACAAGAGAAAAAATAGTGAAAAAATGCGGTTACCAAAAATGGGTCCTGTGCACTTCATCAAAAGGGTCGAGGTTTCTTCCCTGACTCAAAATAATCCGATTTCCCCAACCAAGCTCCAAACTTTGTAATTTCAACAGAGAAATCTATCGATTTCCTAATATATGTGCAATAACGTGGAAAGCAGCGAAGAATTTACCAATCAAGGTTATCATGAAGAAGACGATTCAGTCCTCAGAAACTTCTCCGTCTTTTCCCTTGCGTGGGCGTGTGCGTGGACGGTTGCCGCCCTGACATACCCTGACTAACCTTCCTCCATTCTCCCTTGCCAATTTGTGGCATTAACAATCAGCCGCCGCCCTACCTCTCAATCTTCCGCCGCCCTCACAAATCGGCGACATAAACGTGAGTAACAAAGTACAGTCCGCTGCATTTGCAAAATCAAGTCAGTGTTTTCGTTGTGATTTGCGTTACAACACTAAGAAAGCTTTGCCGCTTATATAGGTCATACATCAGGAGCTAATGACTCTTGAGAATCCCAACATATATCGGAAGATGAAGAGCCTTGTTACGGTAATGGAGTTCTTTAATAGGCATTGGGATGATATCGTTTACCGTAAAAGCTATTGCAAAATATTAAGAGGCATTAATTGCTTTAAGCAGTTGGGGAAAGGTACTATTGCGTTTTTATATATATATACTCCCTCCGTCCCAGGGAGAAGTTCCCGGGTTGACTTTCACACATATTTAGGAAATAAAGTTAGTGAGGGGTAAATTTTACTGTTTGGCACTGTTTCAACACTGTTTGGCACTGTTTAGACACTGTTTGGCACTGTTTTGTACTGTTTGACACTGTTTTGATGTAGGATAACTTTCCATTTAGGGAAATGAGAACTTTTTGTTGGGACTACCAAAAAAAGGAAAGTGGGAACTTCTCCCTGGGACGGAGGGAGTATATATATAGATGTTGTCATTTTTATTCCAGTACTTTGATTTCTTGAGGGTATTGCCTCTATACCCCCTCCTTTTGTACTTTCTACGTTAAAAAATGGTTTAGAAAAATCCAAACAAGATTCTCAAATGAATAATTGGATCCTAAAAAGAAGCAGCACCTATGACTTCAATTTTTTCTATGCCAAAACATTTTATATGTACACCATCACTTTTTATATACTCCGTAATTGTTTTACGGTTACTCCTTTGAAGCTCTTGGAGTAATTCTCCTCCACAACCCCCAATGTCTCATCCTCTTAGTTTATTGGCACTTAATCTTATTACAGTTCATGAACGTTTGAGGAGTTTTTTCACCTAGTTAAGAATATCATCATAGATTAATTGCCCCTAAAAGCCGCAAAATGTTTTTGTACTATTACAATCAAGATACAAAATTTATCATATGTGGCTTGTTTCAAGTGTTTTTTTTTAATATTTTGTACTTGAAAGTAACTTCTGCCCGGGAGCTACAAATTATAAAAAATAAAACTCTACGAAACTTAAGAAAAAAAGTAAACTTCCATCTTGTTCTGACCAATCATTTTTCTTCTGAATTAGTTATAATTTCTAGCTGATGCCTCATCGATGAAATTGTGTTGGTTCTATGAGCTACTTTAATTGAGGCTTCATATGCTCTATTACTGACTTTTTATTTTGTGTGTGTGTGTGTGTGATGGTATGAGGTTTATTCATGAAATTGAACAATAAAACAAAAAACAGAGAAAAGCATGAGACAAAAGGCATAAGATTTAGTATGAAAACAATATGGGGCTTAACATTCAGGTCCACTGTCACAACTATGTTTAACATAGTCCATGTGAGTTAGATGGTGATGTATAATATACCCAGGGTTCTAATGAGTAATGACAAATACCCCCCTCCCCGATCGCTACAGTCAACTCTTTCATGATTCTTAGCAAAATATATGATAATATCTAGGGATATCTTACCCCAGCTCTTGAATTTGAAACTTAATATGATGGAAAAACTGATCATCATAATAACCAAGATCAAATAACATCACACAATTAATCATAATTGTAAATTTATGGAGACTTACTTGGAGAGTATCCAATGTTCATTTGAGAGATTTTGGAAGAAGTTGATGCCATTGCTTCAAGAGAATGGATGTGTAATCCCTTGTAGGACAAATGATAGATGGAGTATATAACTTAGAGAGTTGTGATTTTTGATCTCTCCTAGCCTTGGTGTTCATACGTACGTTTTTTGGTTTGGCAAGGGAGGAGTATTAATAAGGGAGAAATCCTAATAGTCACAACTCCTCAAATTTTGTCCTAAAGGGTGTTACCACAATGGTACCCCTTAAGTATTATTTCCATCAAATAATACACATATATATATAATATATGATTATATATATTATACATAAATATAGAACACATATTAATATTGGTCCTTAGGCCATATTAATTTGAAATAATCCAACATTCTCCCACTTGGCCTAGTGACCAATAATTGCTAATTAGTTGGCCAAGCATGTGTTCTAAATACCCAATATCTATAATATAATAGAGAAGTACAACCACTCGCATCTATTTAGATACGGGACCCCCACTAATCATACTATAGCACATGTATTAGGACATTAAGGTCGTTAAACATAAATGATCAAATGTAATGTGGTAATCAATATTAATTTGTCCATGACACCAAAGTTAGTGCGCACGGTATACATATAATAGACAATCAAGAATTCAAGTATTTAATTATATACATGAATTGTTCATAAGAGCACTATGCCAATTAAGTGAGGTCTCGACTAAAACCCATTTTCATCACATGTTCTTGAAAAATCTTGGGTGGTAGACCTTTTGTCATCGGATCCGCAAGCATATCATGAGTGCTAATGTACTCGATAGAAAGATTATTTTCTTCAACTCGTTGATGTACAAACAACAACTTTGTATCGAGATATAATCCAGCCCCGCTCGAACTATTTGTTGGGTTTCGGGCAGAAAAACGCAGCGGAATAAACAAAAATTTTTACTACCCAAAAGTAAACAAACGGATCTGAGGTTCTTATTATAAACGAAATTACAAGAATTTAAGAGGGACTTACATAACAATCTTAATCAGGGATGTCAGACAGTCCGAGAAAATGATCCCGAGCTCTACCGGTATCCACACGCACGTGACTGGATCGGCCGCAGGGAACGTGCTAGCGTTCTCTTCTTTCTTCCTCTCTACTCTAGGTTTAAGAAGAGAATTTTAACTCTTATAATTCGTGGGTCTCCTTAGCCCTATTTATAAGAGGTGGAAAGAAGGGGTTTTATGGCTAATAAAACCCTTAAAGAGGCCCTAGCCCAATACCATTCGAAACCCTCTTTCGAATTGGGCTAATCAAGCTATTTTAATGTTATTAACAAACATTAATGATCCAAATCACTTAGGTGTGTGACCCTGTAGGTTTATATATTATTGGCAGTGGGTTAGAAATTAATTCGAGCCTCACAAATCATAAGCGGTCTCTAGCAAGGCATTATGACTATCCAAAATATATAAATGTCAATTAAATCTGACATAACCTTTTAATGATTAATTTGTGCTAATAATTCTCTTTTGTCAAACGATATCTTAATTGAGACAAGGTTAGGTCGTGTCATCCTTGTTATTCTCAATTAATATTTCTTGATTACCAAGTAAGATTAATCTTGATCAAATGACACCTCATTTGAGCATGGCCATTGTTGAGGTTTATTCCTTCAACCTTCAGGCCCAACACGTAAGCCCAAAGATTTCGAGTGGAGTGCGTTTGAGTAGCTAGCCCAACAAACAGATGATAAGGATCAAGAAACAATAAAGTAGCAAGTAAGTGATTAGGTATTATTATCTCTTAATAACTCCCTAATACAATACTCTTTGCTAAGGCTCCGTCGGCCGTTCGTCTTACAAGGCAGTAGAAGTGCTGCGAATAAGAACGCTATAGCTAGGATGCCAAGAATAGAAAGTTGCCAACCCTTTACAATGAAATAAATGCTTCTATTTATACCCGCCAATGGGCAGGTGGCTATGTTGACGTGGAGGACTGCGGATCGCATGTGTCCCAACCACCAAATCTTCTGCATTAAATGCACTTCCCGCCAGAATCCAGGCTTCCCGCCTAAATAATGGGGACGTTCGTCCGCCAGGGGTGAGCTGGGTCATTCCAAGTGATCCTCAAGAGACTTCGGCTGTTCGTCCCCTGACCTTTGGATTCTCTCCCTGTGGACTGGATCTCCTCCGATGATCATGGACCTGCCCAGGAGACGTTCGTCGTTATCCCTGATGGCTAGTGGTCCTGCCCCTTGCCCCTGCATGGACGTTCGTCGTGATAGGCAGTTTGGACCTGGGCCCCCCCCATTCCAGACGTTCGTCGCTTTCCAAGGATCCTGGGCCTGCACCCAGCCTGGTCCTAGCTTGACGGGCGCCTGACAGAAACGAGGAGGTTAATGGGCCGGACCTCGGCCTGGGCCATTATCCCAACACAAGTCCCCCACTTCTGATGTTCTGAGCATGTACAGGACATAAGGAAGTATAGGTGCCCCGAAGTTGACGTTCGTATCCTGACACTTGGGTCTCACTGCATCCGGCGCAAGCGTACGCTCGTGGTCACGGTGCTTAACAGCTGTCGACGGTTCAGGAAACGAGGTGACGGCTGCTATAGCGGCGGTGCACTTTCCGAGGAAATGCCATCATTGCGTTTTCGTCCCACGCACGGCGCGTGAGCCGGAATACGCTCTTTGCCACGTGTCCGTCCCTCGTTGGTCCCCCCGCCGGTGTTTCTCCTATAAATGCCGGGTTCCCCCCTTAAATTAGGGTTCCCAATTTTCGCTCTCCTGCTCTCGCGTTCCCGCAGTTCTTCAAGTCTTTTCTGGTTTTCAAGCTCGGCTAACTCCTTGCTAAGGTAATTTCCACCCCCTGCTTCTTTTCTTTGTCTTGAATTCTTGCCGAGATGGTTTCGATGGAGATCTCGTCGAGTTCTGGTTCGGGTTCATCGGGTTCTTCTTCGGGCTCCTCCTCTGACTCTGGTTCACGTTCTTCGGGTGAGACTAGCACTTCCGGGAGTTCCGGCTCAGCCTCTACCGTGGGAACGGTCCAGGCCGGGGATGCCCAAGACGTGGTTGCTGTGGTGGTTCCTGGCGAAGAAGGTGCTGACCTGGGGGAGCAAGGGAATATGGCCCTCGATGTGGTGGATCCTGTAACTGATGCCGGGGAACAGGAGTCCGCCGGTGAGGACGAGCGTCCAGATGGGTATGATTCTGGGGTTGAAGCCCAGGACGGCTCTGACATTGAGATATTCGATCTTGGGCTGAAGATAGACGTGGAGAGGCATCTGTGCCCGATCAAGAACGTCCTGTGTCATGAACAGATCTTCTCGCAGGTGGCCCTCAACAAATTAAAGGTGTTCTTCCCCCCTCCGTCCGTATACAGCCTGCGCGGTGCGACCCACGTGATGAGGAGACGCCCAGGGATGGTTATGGTGCTTCTGGACTCCATCGAGGCTGGGCTGCGCTTCCCTCTTCATCCGTTCTTCGTGGAATTCTTCTGTTGTTATCAGATAGCCCCCGCACAGCTCATGCCGAACTCCTATCGGTTCGTCTCCGCCTTCCTAGTCCGCTGCAGGGACAGTGGGGTCACCGCCACCTTGGACTTGTTCCAT